GTTTTTAACATATCATAGTATTATACTCACTACATCTGGCATGTCAGTTGCTTCACTAGCCACTTCAGCTTCGGTGATAAGACAAGCGTAGACCATTGTCAGAATACTAAAATAATATTGTCAGAAAAGATGAACAACTTCTTGAACGTGAACTGAGTAGGCGCATTGCGTAAAATCTAATACATGAACGATATCTTGTACAATAATAAAACGGACCGAATTTTACCAAATTTCACACATATAACAAGCATAGTAAGGAGTCTTAAAATCCGCAATCAAATTTGAGAAAAAAGTTTCGTTTACATGGATACGCCGCCATATTGGATTTTATTGACATGTCTTACGTAATGAATACCGCACTTATCGCTCATGGAAATTGATTGTTTATTTGCATGCGTGTTCACAAACATTAAATCTAAAAATTTTGCTGTTGTTTTTTTTCCTAATCGAATTAGAACATTTTTAATGAATATTTTCCTGAGGTAGCATTCAAGTTTGCGAAAAATCCGTGAAAATCCACACTCCAGACACTACCAACAGAAATCTATTCCATATATCAAAAATTCAACAGACACATTTTTAGTATTACCTCTTCTCTTCATTCGGTGAAAATTTCATGAAGATTGGACGACAAATGGTGGAGTTATTCAAAAAAGTATAGAGGAAAGTCGCATTTTGAGAAAACGGCCGATAAAGAAAAATAAATTACTGACTTTATGAGGAAATGGCGGTTACAAACATGCCCGGTACGGGGAAAAATACGGTTTTGGGGGGTTCTTATGCCATGAAATAGTTGTAGGAGAGGCTGAGGAAGCTAAATATGCCTACAGCTCAAATGCTAAATATGCCTACAGCTCAAATTCCATGATTTTGAGCCGAATTTTGATTTTTGGGGTAGCCCCCCCCCCCTCCCCCCCCCCCCCCCTTAATCATCCAGTGCCAGATCTGTGACAGACATCGGCGATCATGGAGCCAAATTGTTACTATTGAACATACATTGTATATTCTGTTCTTCGTTGAGCAAGTGATTCGAAATAGTAATCTAGATTATACACTAGACTAATCAGAAGGGAAAAGAAAACAGAGAACGTAACGCACGTTTTGATAGCGTTTCGATTGGTTCCATATATCGGAAAGTGATATTTGATTTTAAGATTGCCGCCGTTCGTGTTTTAAGTGTCATTATAGTAACACCACACCTCAGTAGGGGCCTATTCAATAGACTGATGCAAGTGCAATATAATATCTCAGGTCATCAACCTTAAGTAACAAGCAAGTCATGCCAGATGTAAAGTTTAAATGTTTTGGAAAAGGAGCGTTTTTCCATTCTGAGCCCAACGTTTGAAATACCATCCCACATAGAACCAGGCAAGCGGCAACTATGACCCAATTTAGAACGAGTCCGAAGAATTATCTTTGTAACAGCACATGTGATCTAAACCATTTGTGATCACATTTTATTATTATTGTCATCTCCTATCACATACGTGTCCTAATATTTTTAACAATTATTTAATCTGGGGTGACTACTCATGATACATTTTTATTAATGTAATGACATTTTGTAACCATAGATTCGAGCATTTTTATTCGCTTTAATCGGACGAATAGACCTTTTAAAAAAATAATAATCATGGGTTTCATGTTTTTTTAAAACATGTCGAACAGTATATTTATGTATGTGCTGATTTGAATTTAATGTCCATTTATGCCTGTTTTTTTGGGTTTTTTTATTCGTTGTGAATTTTCATCAATAGGCTGGATACAAATTACATCTCGAACCGTAGCGTATTTTTTTTTTCAGCGTAAAAAAATAATTCTCGATTGCACGCGTGTCTGCTTTGCTTATTTCATTGTAATGCTCATAAAGCACCCCGTCGAGATGAAAACAAGCAGTAGGCCTATAGGCCTACATGTAAATGCAGTTTATTGGCACAGTATTATAGTTTTGTCAGTCCCTGTCCGTATAACAGATACACCTATCTAAGATCACTATAAGATTAGAAAACTCGCATGGGACTGAATTGTATCATAATGGCAATTTATAGGTATTTCGTAAAACTTGGTATTTTTATTACATCCCCATCGATACCATTCAGATCACGATCAGGAGGCGTGAGTTTGCTTTCCTGGCCAGGGATAGGCCTACAGTAGGTTCCAGGCAGACATATACATGTACTAGTAGATATTAAAAAATAAACAAAACAAAAACATGTAGATCTATATTCATCATCCAGGAATCAGACTCTCGCCTGCGACATTTCAAGGAGTCTATACATCGCTTCTACACGGATACGCTGCAGGTATAACCAATGGCGTTATGTGGATTATAAAGAGAGTGGGGCTTGCCGTGGCCATTAACTCTTACATGCGATCGCTCAGATAACAATAACAGTGGAGGGGAAATAACTGAAACGCCATCCAGACACGCATTCTATAAGAAAACAACATGTCAACATGAAAGAAAATGTAAATGATTCAAAAGTATAATAAATCGTCGGCGCCCCCCCCCCTCTCTCATTCCATTTTCAAGGAAGAAAACACACCTTACAAAAAATTTGTGATTTCCGCTAATTGTTATTTTAGTTGTTCTATCTTTTTCTCCCTCTCGCTTCGGTTGCCAAATTAAAAACACAAAGACCTCAAAGACTTAAAGCATATAGGGCCTTTATTGGTCCCCAATGAGACTTAAATAGTACTAATTTTATAGCGTTACTGTTTGTCGTTTTAGAAGAGGTTTTACAGCGTTCGCAAATGCATAAGGTCGTATGAGCGCCACGGGAAATGTCAACAGAGAAGTCCTTACAGTTATATACAGACAGGGAGTCAGGCTTACTCTGCTTACCCATCTAGCTTCAACAGCACAAAGTCAGCTTCGACTACCAAGGCACCCCAGAAGTAGCGGGTCACAAGAGTGTGACAAACACACAAAAGAAGTAAAGGAAACATGACAATAGTAGTGATTAGGAAAGAAAAAGCAGCAGTTCCCTGTTGCAGGACATTGATGAATCGGCCCATTTACAATTACAATTCTAATGTGCATAAGAATATGCCTAAGACACTTCAGTTCATCAGTAGCACCGCTTCGGGGGATAATAACATTATTGAGTCAAACAGAAATCTACCAAAACAAGTGCATGGTATTCTGTCCTGTAATCGTTTAAAAAGAAAGTTTTGCTTCGTTGTTTCTATACTTTACATAAATCAAAGAGCGCTGCTTCTCAATATCTATTATCAGTTTCACGGTCATCTATAATGCGGTCAAAAATTCGTGGCGCAACTTATCCTCAAATATCTCTCTAACGATACTGTCACTCATGTTTTGCACAGCAGTTTGTATAATTTTGTATTCAGATTTTTCCATAACAACTGAGGCTAGATTAAAAAACTTTTCTTCATAAATCTATATTATATATTATAAAATACCATAAATCTCCATCATGCGGAAATTGCGCTCACAGCTTTTTTTCTCTCACGCATTTTACTTACGCATAGCATGGCAAACGCCATAGCCTAGAACTAGACCTTTTCAGTCTGAGAAAGCAGGCCATCTCATCAATGAGACTTTTTAGAGGGAAAACTATTTACAAGAAATTCATTTTACAATGAACACAATTTTAGCACGAAAGGTACTCAAACATGCGTTCAAAAAGCATAATTATGTCGCGATTAGTAAAAAATGATGGACTTGTTTTTTTAAAACGCTATATTGCCACACCTGTAAACTTTTTTGAATCTGCAAAAACCATCGACTGGGTTTTTGTTAAAATTAGCATTTGTAATTGTCTAGAATACAGTGTGCAGGTGTTTAAATAAATATTCATCAGTTAAGACAAATTGATAGATATAAGTCACTGCGCAAAAGTTGGATACCTTCTATGTTCAATTGTTAAAGGAGATGACAATAAGTTGAGCCACGAATTTTTGACCGCACAATAGATAGAGGCCAAAGTTGACGAAGCCGTTGTTGGGAACGCGTCCATTTCTCATGGAGAGGGGTAACCTAACGAAAGGTCCTGGATTAAATAACAAAGAATAAAAAAACCTACAAAAACCAATAACAACAATTCTTGATCGTTTTTGCTCACAGTCACAATCACTCAAATGCAGTCAAACGTTATTTTCTAAACTGAAATTTATTGTCGCAAGGAAATATACAAGAATGACTTTTAAAGGATATATCGATATCAGAAGACAACAACGAACGAGCACATTTTTTCCGGAGGGCAGGGGGGGGGGCAGACTGTAATCCTGAAGTGCTTTGTCATTACATTTTAGGAAATTCGCTTTCGCAAGTGCGGGCTGGATTAATAATAAGCTTGCATTGTACTGGCCACCGAAGGCCTAGGCCTACATTATTATGATTTGGAACCAACAAAGATAAAACCGGAAATATAAAATCTTTGCTTTGATTTTGTTTGGCACTGCGCATGCGGCAATTAGGGAAGTTTTTGACAATACTGAGAATCGAGTACAGAAAGAAATTATTTTTATGGCCAGTTTTGAAGTATCGAGTTTTATCGACTAAACAATATTTTGCTCGATTAATTTCCCTTTAAAAAAAATCCTATCATTGGTTTTCCTCTCATCCCGAAAACACACATAATATGTACATGTACATTGAATTGGACATGTTCCAGTATCAAACTTTATATGTTGGCAATTACCTGAAGAAGCTACAATTTCATTTTGTCTATAATTTACGATTGAAATTATTGTACTGCCTGCGGAATTTCAAGTCAGGAAATGTCAGCATTTTAAAGGAAAGGCGAAGAAAGCATTATTCTAATTTACACTTGTTTTATAAACGGAACTCACTTTTTTACTTTGATAAAACCCAAAATAGATACAATTAAAAATACTAGCCTATGGTAAAAAAAAACACAACAAAAATACCCTCCCCCCCGAGAATGTGGGTGTTCGCGACAAAACTCGAACTTGAATGCATTAATGAAACTTCATTTATAAGCTCGAATACACAGTATCGACAAACTCCGACACCACTACTACTGTGCGCTTTCAATATGGCGGAGCTCGGGAAGCTGCTAGTCTTGGACGATATAAACAGACACTCAGTGGGCTTCCTTTTGTAAACCATGATACCGTAGTGTTGCTGCTGTTAGCTTAAAGCATGTATATACCTAGTTGTAGGTGTTGAGTACTCCGAAATGTCTTCAGAAGCAGACCTTGAGAAGGCTATTCGTGATGCTACGAAGACTTGCACAACCAATCAGTCAATGATAGTTTTCACGTCCAAACATCTGGACGAATTGAGGACACAATGCGCATCAACGGATAAAATAACACAGATAGAAATAAAAGATGCGGAAGTAAGTATCAAGTTAACTCCCCATGTATTTTTGGAACAGCCAGGGTGTGAATTTCATTTTGTTTTACTTCAGATAAGTGATCTCTCTGAGCCTCCTGTGGGTCTGAAATCTAGATTACTACCTGATCTCTAAACTACTGACACTGTACTGTTGTTGGACCAGGAATGTGTACCACAGACTGAATTGGGGGAAGCCCAAGACTCATGTTCTTGTCTTTTTAGAATAAAAAATGCATCTATATATCTAGATCTAGATTCTAGATTTCTCACTTCTTGAGTGATTACACAACTGATATATTTGAACTGAATGAATGGTAACCGGTCATTTTGTCACACGTTCATCACGTCATCACGTAGCATGGTATAGATCTAGATCTAGATCTAGATTATTAGATCTACCTACTGAGTATCACTGATTATCATGGTAGCGTCAATTGCCACCGAGTGACGCGGTGGCAGTTGACAAAATTGACTTTTTGTCAATTGCCACCGAGTGAAGCGGCGTCAAGTCTGAAAACAACACTATCTTTAGCTTTATACATAATGTGTGTCTAATGGGTCAATTTGTTCTCAACTAATTTCATTGGAAGAGCATCTATTCTAGAGCTACGGTACCATCTTGGAGTGTTTTCAGTGAGACGTAGGCCTAGATCTAGGCTAGCCTTAGCCTACACATTGGTGGTGTAGAACCAACACAGGCAATTCTAGAAGTAGAAGGTCACAAACGCGCACAAACTGAAGCAGAAATTCACGTTATATCGGGGAACAAAATCGGGGGACAGGGGTCAGGAAAAGACACACACACACACACACACACGGACACACACTGACACACACACACACACACACACAAACACACACAAACACACACTGACACACACACTCACACACACAAACACACAAACACACACAAACACACACACACACACACACAAACACACACACACACACACACAAACACACACACACACACACACACACACACAGAGGGACAGAGAGGCGAACGCACAACACCGAGCACTCGAGCATAATAAGCTAGATCTACCCACCAACGCAAAAGAGCTCCAATTTACTCGGTGGCAATTGACAAAAAAGTCAATTTTTGTCAATTGCCACCGCGTCACTCGGTGGCAATTGACACTACCGATTATCATCGCATATCACTAAATATATCACCACACATCGCTTAGTCTCACAGCATACCGCTAAATATCACAGCTCATCACTAATAAATATCACTGCATATCACCAATTATCTGGTGTGTGTGTGTGTCTGTCTGTCTCTTGACTCACTCTTTCTCTCTGTGTCTACACTGTGTGTGTTTCCCTCTGTCCCTGTCTCTCTCTGTCTCTTTCTCTCTCTCTCTCTCTCTCTCTCTCTCTCTCTCTCTCTCTCTCTCTCTCTGTTACATTAGTAAATGAGGAAAGAAGAAGAAATGCCTTCCAAAAGCTATTTTTATAAAACGAACTTCCTTTAACGCTTGTCCTGTGTCTGTGCTGAGATGCGAATCTTATCAGTAACCGATTAAGTCAGACAGGCCGCTGGGGTCACTCAGTGTGTACTGTTACTGTTAGTGTACAGCGCGCACGCCGGGAAACGTGTGTTTTCCCCATGAATACCTTGGGAGTTTGTTAATCGATGATGAAAATAACACTCCTTTCATAGCTTTCTATTTATAAAGTGTTACAAACACATGAATAACCCCCTCTCACAAGCTGACAAGACATTACAAGTAGTTACGCCCATGCCATTCGAATAACCTTTCTAGACGCTCTTGTTGTTATGAACGACCTCAGGTTCGAAAGGGGATGAGGTCATTTTCCGAATGTTTTGCACTCAAATTGTTCTTTGTACCTGCACAATGGTATTCAAAACTATCAAACAAGCTTTTATTTTTTATCTGGTAGTATCATTTCATACAAAATCAAGCTCATTTGAAAGATTTTGTATAGAAAAAGGGAAGTCTTGTTTCCTGACTATCCTTTTGAGCTCCTCATGTCCAAGTATGTCGATTTCTTCTATAATTTCATTGGACGAACATCTAGAGCTACCAACTTGGCGTGTTTTGAATGAGATGTATGCCTCGCATAGGTTCTAGAAGAAGGCCACAAACGCACACAAACTCAAGCAGACTGACGCACACACACTTGACCTGCGTTAATGGGGATCAGACTCGGGACCCGAATTTCTCGTAAGGTAATGCGTGGTGCGCGTGCGCTGAGCCAGGGGCTACGCTGACTCGGGACCAGAACGAAGGCGAGGTGCCGAAATAGGCTTATCGGGCGACATAAACCCGGCCCCCGCAGGATGAGGGTTAAGATTTAGGAACAAATTCTTTTATTCTAATAGAATTGCTCCTAGTTGGAACAAATTGACGCAAACAATCAAAAAAGCCATAAATTAAGCATTCACCCCGATATTTAGTGATATTTGGCACAATGTGCGGTGTTTAGTGATGTGCGGTAATTATATCATACGTCATCTCGTCACACCCCAATTATTTGTGATGAAACGACTTCGCTTATTTCTCTCCAAAATTGTTATGTAAGTAGATGAGCTTTGGAGGATCAGCCTAAAGCTTTTTTTGAAGTTTATATATATAAATTATTAATGTAAATTAAATCTTCTCGTCTAAACTGTTCTATAGAGCAGCTAGCTGAACAATAGTTTTTGAAATAAGGCAAAAACAATGTGTGGTAAAGAGTTAATAGTAAGGCTTTATTTTAAAGTAAGGATCTAGCTTTTAGCAAAATTGCAGTACCATACACTTTTATTAGCTATTTTATTTTTAACAAAACTAATATTATGATCTTGCCAATCACACCTTTCATCAATAATACTTAAGAACTTTGTTGATCTGACTCGAACACAGGCCTACATATAAATTTTTGAGCGGTGTAGCTGATCAGGCAGGCTCGACGACTCGCACAGCCCCAACCCTCCTCCAAAAATCGTGATTTGCGATTGCCACGAAAATGCGCGCTTGATGTTTGCAAGTGTGCTACGAAATGGTAACCGGTCATTGACTTCGCTATAAATCTCCAATATTGTTATGCAAGTAGAGTTTTGGAGGATCAACCTAAAGCTTTTTTTGAAGTTATATATATATAATTAAGGAAGTGCCCATTTGCAACACGATTAGCGCCAGTGCTAAATAAAACGCTGGGTGTTATATAATATATAAATCTTAACCTACCTTTCGTTGTTGAAGTTCTGGTAGCCGAATGGACAGCGCGTCTGCGTTTGAAGACCAATATTTTATGAGCGTGGGAACGAATCCCGGTCCTGGAAGTTTTTTTGTTTTTTTTTATCGTCTCCTCTTCTCGACTGACCAACAATTTTTTCCCATAATTATAACTTGTTGCTTTGTAGTTTTTTTATGTAGTGATGAAGCATGCGCATTCTGGTTTTGTCCCCATGAGGAGCATTTACCTACAAAGTAGTCCTATACTTTTCTTTTTACTAATTTAGGCCTGATTAAAGTTCAATAGTGGCTTTCCTTGGTCTGTGAGTCTAATTTTTCTGTTTTAATTTTAGGCTCAGGAGAAGAAAAAAAACCTTCTGGGACCGGGATTCGATGCCACACTTGGAAGCACTGAACATTGGAGAACGTAGACAGCTGTTTTGATTGTTGTGAAAATTTCCATTTGTCAAGCTTTACCTGTCAGCTTGTTTCACGGATCGAAGCGTGCGTTTAAGAGGAAGTGAACATGTGTTTGTGCTTCTATTTATATAGTAAAAAAAAAAAATCAGTTTTGTGAAGAAAGCATGTGTTTGAGCGGAGCGTGCTTTGTAGGGCGTGAGTTTAGGCGGAGACTATATATGGCTCTTTTCATCTCAATGCAGACGGTCAATTTAGCTTGAGATGGTCTCAAGGTTGTCTTCATGCAGTTTCTTTCATGGCTAATTCCTCCTATGTTTGAAGGGCAGATTCTGTCGCAGTGCTTGCATGTCAGTGAGGTGGATCGAAGCTCTGTATTTCCACTGTTTTCTTTTCGTCGTTGGCGCATCTCAGCTGTTTCTTCCCTGATGCTAACATCCATCTGAGCTAGTTGTAACGGAGTACAAGTACTTGTACTTATGTTACAATTTTCGGTACTTTTTCTGTACTTTGGTACATTTTGAGAACCAGTACTTTTACTCTACTCCGATACTTTTTATAAAAGTACTTTTGAGTATTTTTAAAGTACATTTTGAGTACTTTTGAAGCTAATTGAAAGGGTAAGTGCCGGCATTTCTGATCATAATTTCCAGAACAAACATCCGGGCGGGCACAGCCGATCAACCGAGAGTAAAAAGTTGAGATCAAAGATCTGCCCGTCCCCTCAAGGATCAGCCACTCTCGTGAATGTGATCACAAGCTTTGTAATACTCGATGAAACGGTACAATGTTTGGCCCAGACGGGATCATATGGAGGTGTGAACTAACCGACGTGTTTGTTTTCCCCACACATCGCACTCGCATCTGAGCTCGCCACCTTAACTTACATCACTCACTGGGTGGGTAGGGCCTACAAGTTCGCTCCAGGCAGGGTCACATCGAACTGTGAACTCTTCCCCGACCATTGAAGGCAGTTTTTCTCTATTCCCGAATTTGCGAGATAGCCTGAATTTTAATTGGTGTGGTCACAACGTAATGGTGCGTAACGACACAGGTGGGGGGACTCAATCAGAGATGGAAAGCAAGAATTTTTGAACAGGTAAAGGGGAGGGGCAACTGGATAATCGTAGATTGAGATCTCGAGACTCACGATAGGCTAATGAGTTTATATAATATATATATGGCATGCCTCATGCCACTGTGATTGGTCATCAAGGTTGACCACTCTTTGCTCTCCATAATATGTCATAAACCCACCAAGGGGTCACGTCAGTTTATGGGACCCTGTAGCTTCTTCCTTGGCTTCATCGGCTAAGATCCCGTATTTTCCTTGCTCCCAAGCACTGGGATCTTAGGCGGAGACTAGTGTAGTAGAGAATCTGTGGTTACACTACACTTACTAGACTTTATGAAACTAATGTATTTTGGTTTGCCGTGAGTGCCGTGTACTACACAGTGGGACCAAAATCTGTCTTACCACTATGATCCAATTGAAACTGAAACTGAGTTCTCAATGTACAGGGTGATCCCAAAAAAACTTAACAACTTGTTTTGTAAATATCTTTCTCCATACCGAAGTTTTGCGTTTCAGATTTGAACGTAACGTTTGGAAGCCAAAAGGAATTTTTCTGATATGAGTTTTAGATAAGCCCATTGAATGGTTTTACTCTATATAGTGCATTAAAAAAACCCAACCCATTTTCCACCTTGTCACCATTTTCATAGCATGACGCACCAATTCGCATTAGGCCTACCACTAACAGTTGCAGCAATCGCGCCATATTGCAAGCTACAGCAGTCTAACAAGTCAACAGAAGTCTGCAGATATTATTTTTCCCAAATTTGGTTTGCCTGCTGAGATCATGGCTACGTTTAGTAAGAGCAGAGAGCTTTTTGTATTGAACATTACCTCTCCACAAACTCACCATCCCTAACATTTCTGCGCACGGCGTGGAGAGAATGCTTAGGTGCCCTCAAGACCTTTAGCGTCATGAGTAGAGACGTTCCGTCAGTTTGAATCTCTAGCGAATCAGAACTAGAACGTTGTTTAAAAAAATGACCACTTCAGGTCGAACACGCACCATGCGCAGCCCCTTAAACGTCACCAGAGTGCAGATTTTAGTAGCCGAGTCCCATGAGACGTCTGTCTGTAGACGTTCTGCAGCTAGGACTTTTCTACACATCAACAGTCTGCATTGTCATGGCAGATCTTAACCTACGACTATACCATGTTCATGTTCGCTAGGCCGGGCCGAGATGAAATGGATCCGAGCATGGCAATGTGTTCATGATTCCTTGATTGTCTTGTAAAGAGGGATCATTTCGTTGATGGCATTTGGTTTAGTGCAAAGCCCATTTTCACCCTGTGGGATGTGTTGACTCCAAAAATGCTGTCTATTGGGTACCCCACTCAATTGTTTCTAGAAGCCACTTCTAAGTAAACATGCACAGTGTATGTGGCTTTATAAACTCATGGGTTAGCAGGTCCTTGTGTTAGGGCGCCAATGAACATTTTGAACGACGCGTTAAAAATGTGTCGAGTCCAAAGGAGGGAATGTGGAACCACTGCTTCTAGGAATTTCAGAATTATATCATTAGGTTTTTAAAACTCTATAAAAGAAATTAAATATTGTTTAAATGTCACAGGGATGGAAAATTAATGTCAAAGAGAAAATAAACAAAAAGGTCAACTAATCTTTTCACGACTTCCTGAACAAGATTTTTAAACATTAGTGAACTTTGAGTTTTGGGGGTGCTTTTTTCTTTTAGCCGTTTCCGTTTTCAAAACATGTTTCTTCTTCGTGGATTTTTATATCAAACAAATTCCTTTTGAATGAATTATGTCTGTTCCAAATTACAGCATTCTAGAACAATTTTTGCGCGAGATATTCAGAACAAAAGTTGTAAAGTTTTTTTTGGATCACCCTGTATATCTACATTTTATAGGCTACCTAAATTTCTTTTAAACTTTTTTGTGTGGTTTTTGCGGCTACATCGATTCCTTGAGGATTTGTTAATGAAGAATTCGGTGCACTTTTCCATTTCTTTGCTGGCCATTTTCATCAATGTTATGTTTTCTTAAGAGAAACTTTGTCTCTACATTTTCCAATTTGGATACTTTTCCTGTAGAACTTTCCGACCTCTTGGACTGACTTACATTTGATCACAGTGTCTTGCTCAAGCAAGTTCTGTTCATAATATCACTTACTCACTAGTTGCGTCTGTTTGGTTTTTTTTCAATTTCATTGACCATTTGCACCTACGACTACGTTCAGTGCGTATATTCAAATGCTTTGTATACTGTTTACATTTTTAATAATAAATGGCCTAATTTGTCGAATATATACTGGATCTGTGGCGTCGGTGCCATGTGGTTAGGCTCTCGGACTCGCAACCGTAAGGTCGTGGGTTCGAATCCCGTCAGGGGCCCGACGTTGTGTCCTTGGGAAAGGCACTTTACACGAATTTTCCTCACTTCACCCAGATGGGAATGGGTACCCGGCTTTAGACAGCGAACAATCTTGTCAGTTTGTTAGTGTTTGAGCGCTTAACCAGCTGCTTGCACTGTATGCTTCCCGGGAAGCTGAGAATGTTTCGGAGTGTTTTATGGTCTGCTGGGGTAATAATATAGTGTAAAGCGCATAGAGCCTGCTGTTGAGCGGGGATATGCGCTATACAAATGCTATTTATTATTTATTTTATTATTATCTGTTGTTCAAAATGATGTTTTGTATTAGCACTGAAGTGTTTTAACATATTAGCAGAAAGTACTCAAAATGTACACTCATAATTACTTTTTTAAAAAGTACTTGTACTCAAGTACCTTTTACAGGAAAGTACTTTTACTGTTCTTAAGTACATTTTTTAGATTGTACTTAAATTTGTACTTAGTCTTAAGTACCTTTAAAAGTACTTTAACAGCTCTGCCAACATCTACTCCAAACTTAGATAAGCTGTTTTTGCAGGTGACTTTATACCTTAATTTTGGTTTTCCTCTTGGTCTTTTCCCTGGGCAAGTTCTCCAGAGAGAAGTTGCTTCGGAATCCTTTGTCGTCCATTCTCTTAAAATGGCTCAGCCATCACAATCTTTTTAAACACAGGATAGTTGTCATGCTCTGGAGGTTTGCCAGTGCCAACACTTCAACATTTGTAACCTTGTCACGCCACAAAATGCGTAAGATCTTGTGGCAGCCTCTGAGATGGAAAATGTCGAGGCGCTTTTCTTGCCTGTTATACAACGTCCATGTTTCAGATCCATAAAGGAGTGTGCTGAGGACACATGGTTAATCTTTTGTTTTCCCAATCTCGTTTTGTCAGCCTTCCAAAAGTTGTTGCTGCTTCCCTATCCTGATGTTGACCTCATAATCAAGTGATGTAGTTGAGCTGATGGTAGACCCTAGGTAACAGAACTTTTCCACTGTCTCAAGTTCCTAGTCGTTCAGCCATATAAATATGGCTCTGCTCTGCACCTTCTTGAGTAAGGATGACTGTTTTCTTAACACTGATGACCAAGCTAAAGACGTTGCATGCTGTTGATAGGCGGTCCATCATTGTTTGAGGGTTGATTCACTGTAACAAGAGCAGCATCATCGGCGAAGAGAAGGTCTCATACTATTGTTTTGTTGATCTTGGTCTTGGCCTGGAGTCGAGCAAGATTGAAGAGCGACCCATCAGTTCTTTAGCGGAGGAAGACATTCCCTGGTGACTCTTTGAATGCGTGTTGTAGTAAGACAGCAAAAATAAATGCTAAAAAGGGTTGATGCTAAGACACAACCTTGATTTACTCCGCTCTTGATGTTGAACCGTCAAACTGAATGGTGGCTTCCATATCTTCATGGAATGAGATGATGAACTGTAGCAGTATTGGGGGACAGCCTATTTTTCTAAGCACTATGTACAGTCCTGATCTACTGACTGTATCGAAAGCCTTTGTCAGATTGATGAATGCAGTATGTAATGGCAGTTGTTCCCTGCATTTTTCTTGTAGCTCACGAATAGAAAAGATCATGTCCATTGTTGAGCAGTTTGATCTGAAGTGTCCTCTCCATAGTCATATAAATGCTGTGCTGTAGCTGTGGGTCTGATCCGCTGTATTTGCTCTTTTGCAGCGTCCTCCCAGAAATCTTGAAATCTTGACTAAGCTAAATGCCTGGGCCTGACTGTATGGAGAATGTGCCTTGCCCAATTTGCATGTACCCCCTCTCAACTTTGCTGATTTAGTCCAAAGGAGCGACGAGGTCAATACATTTGAACCATTAGAGTTGCAGGGGCTGCCAGAAGATAGTTCCTCCCTGTCGACTGCCTTAGGGGCCCTCCCTCCGGATTTGTTTAGGGTTTACTCCCTTAGCTTTTCATACTCCCGTATGCATCTACAAGGCAGTAGGAACAGCTGCAGGTAGTGCCATCTACTGTCATTATGGTAGCAGCACTAAGACTTGACCTGACATCAATCAATATGCGGAGACTACTGTACTGTTATCTTTGGTGTAATGATTAGGTGCTTTACTGCCATAGTGGTTCAGTGGAAGATTTAAGTTCGATTCCTGACCAGGGAGAATTTTAATTGAGTATCTGCGTCTTTCTGCTAGGATGTCACTGTACACCTTTCAGCCAGGGTTTACCCTGAAAAGCATGGTGAAAACAGGTTGCCTCCTAGATGGTTTAAATTGTGTGGGAGGAGTGTAAAACAATTGATTATAATGATTACATTGCATAACCCCTTTTGTCACAGAGCAAGCTTATTCGGATGGTGGGTAACCAACTGGTGGCCAAGCAAAAATTGAATGTGGACAATGTGCCTGAAGCCTTGAAGGAGTACCCCAAGCTGGAGCTCTGGCTCAGGATTGTAGGCATTCCAGAGTCTGCGATCAAGGTGAGGTTATTCTTATATTCATCATCATTTCATAAGTTTCTAGTCCATGTTTTTTTTTTAAGGTTCGAAAAAATGAAAGAAAAAAAGGTTTTTCAAATCAGAACAATGACTTGGGCTCTTGTTATTTTTTCAATAAACGATTGTAAAAGAAGTATTGAAACAAAATGAAAGTGTATTGTATTTGTAAGCTCTCCCTTTGATGTCTTTATTTGATCAATGGCTTTATTTGGAAACTCCTGCAAATTCATTAGGGTCATTTTTGGATGATGCTGACTATGTACACGTTTGGTGTATAGAAGGTTGAAGGTAGTCAGGCCTGTGCTGGGGTCCTTAAAAGTTAAAAAGATTACGGTTTACTCTTACTTGGCTCTAACAGGGAAATGCAGAAAATGTAGAAATTAAAGAAGCTACTGCACTATTGATGACTTGGCAAATATTTAAGTTTGTCACTAGGGTAGGTCAATGGATTTTGCCACCAGACAATACACCTGAAAGTAGGTCTGGTTTTTGACTTGTCAAGCTTTGCAGATCTGCAGGGAATTTCTTATGACTTTTGGTTGAAAAAATTGGGAATTAAACTGTCTTTCTTGCTTTTTCCTCAGCACTAAATAGCTGTTGATGTGTTGATGTGTTTCTGTGTATTTGAACAAGAATTATTAATAAAATAGTCGTTGGGATTCAGTTTCCTCTTTTCTTTCTGTTCTCAACAAGACATTGTTGGTGATGGCTTGATGTTTGTTTTATTCTGTGTGAAGATGGTGAGATGCAAAAGTAATAAAAGATTACTGGACTCTGTATCCACTTTGTATTCTTTTTTCAACAGGAAATTCTTGATGAGGGCTTAATGTTCTCCGATCTCCTGAATATGGAGCGGGATCAGCTGACTTTGCTGCTCCAGAGGTTGAACTGTTCGGAGTTGGAAATCAGGACGCTACTCACGGCATTCAAAAACTTGAGAGCATGTACAGGTGAGATAGTGGATGGTTGGAGGGTACTACTAGAAGACCCTTCTCCACTGTGGTCTGATCTATCTACTTCTTTTCTGAGTTTCTATTATCTTCTTGGAAAAAAAAAAGTATGACCATGAACAATTCCACTTCTTTTTTTGTTGTGACCCTGCCCAATTCAATCATCTGGCTCTTTTGTTTTTAGTAATAACAACAAACTGTGCAGCATTTTGGGTTTTGAAATTAGCTGTTAGTCTTCGAGTAAACACAATGGAAAATGTTTTTTATATAAATAAATACATGAGTAAATAAGTAAAACAAAAGGTTTCTTCACTCTTCTAATGTTTTTTTGGTAAGTTACTCATCTAAGTGTTGCCATAGCCCCAATTCGAGATGGCTACAACAACTGGTCAGTAGTTTGCTTAGATTGTGTTAGTCCTACATTCCTCAGCTCTTTCGAGTCACGAGGTGGGCGCCCTCTGTCCCGCTCCCTAGTGGAGTCATCTTTACTGTGTCACTGAAGGTTCCGAAAGTTTGCACGAAGTCTCATACTGTGGTGGTGGCTTTGTTAGTATTAGTATCTAAACTACTGGGCCAAGACGAGTTGGTAGTAGGGAACAGAAAGAGATACAAATTTTGCTTGTAAGGGGGGGGGGGGGGGTGTTTTAGTTTTGCATCTGTATGTTTAGTCTTTTCTTAATATGTGTGCACTTACGTTGATTTTTGTCGGACATACCCTGTTTAGTATACTTTTATCGCACGGATTGTTTTCAACGGGATTGCTTACCGAATATAATAAGTACCATGACTTGTGGGTTGACCGTTGGATGACTCACCGTCCCGGGGCGAGTTGAGTCATCACAATACAATGAATCCACTTTACCCGGGGGAAGCCCCCCTACACTTCCTATCAGTACAGCCCTCCCCAATGCTACCTTTAAAAACGTTTGATTTTTTGGGCACTTTAAAACATACACACACACCAGGCGTGTCAACCTTCCCGAGGTTTTTGGGAAATTCCCGAATTGCGTTCGTCGTTCCCGAACTTTTCCTGAAACGGTGTGGATGTTTTTATTTAGTAACTTTAGTAGCCTATCACAGAAGTGTGTGTCTGTGGCTCTCTGGCGCTGTCAAAATTCCAGAATTCAGTATCTCAAAAGTTGGCAAGCCTGACACACACACACTTCTTTTCTTTCCCTCTGTTGGTTCTGTTTGTCTTTCGAGATCACTTCTTCTCAGCAAAAAAAATGACTTCTGTCATGTTTGTTGTCATGTTGATTTACTCCTCTTTTCTTAAACTAAATTAGACAGGCGAGAGAACAGTTGGTTGTTGGGTGTTTCTAGTAGGTCCTACTTTTTATCTTTCCCTTATGTTTGTTACAGTACATGTAGTTGGTCTTGCCTTTTATTCTCACTACATGACTGTTATGTTGATGTGCTTCGTTTTTCTAAAACAAAATGAGGCTGGTGAGAGGGAAGGAAGTGGAAGGATTCAGAAGAGAGGAGATTATCCTTGTGATTCCAATTCTGGCTTTTCCTTGTGAATAGAGCTTTCCATTGAGAAACAAAGAACAATCTTTCGTGGAAGATGATTTTATTCACTCTCAATGATGTAATATATATCATTTGAAGGTTGCACAACATTTTTGTGAAATAGTTAACACTTTTAAAAATTGGGTGGACTTGATGATTTTGTTTTTTATGAATTTCAACATCTGCTGTTCACATTTGACAAAAAATGGTCTGATGTTAGGGTAAGAGTTGGGCAAGAGTTAAAGAATATTTTTCATTGACCTGTGGAAAATTTTTCACCAATACTAATTTTCTGTTGAGATATGTAGTATTTTAAAGTATAATGACCTTTTGTGTGTGAGATTGTAATTTGGTAATTTTCACTATTACATTATGTATCGATTAATCTTATTGTTTGTTGACTATACTAAATATATAACTTATGAACTATTTTTGTTGCTTATTGACTGTTCTTATTAAGTAATCAACAATTGTAAATTACTTATTGGCTATTGTAAATAACATGTCTGCAATGAGAGTTCTGAATAACTTAAATCACTATTCTTTATGATCTATTGATTAATTGGCATATGTCACAGAGAAACAGCTGTTGGGTCAGTCCACCTCAGAGCACGACTGGCACTTCACGGACCTGGCGTGCCTGCAGGCTGCGGCTGTTGCTGCCACAGCGGCCTCTCGTTCCACGACCAGCAGCCCAGCAGCCGGCAACTCCCCCAAACATCAGGGGGGTCGGATCTCCTCCTCCACCTCCTCCGCCACCTCCCTGTCCTCTGTAGAAACTTCATCCACGCTCAAGACGGATGTAGCAGCGCCCCCTGGCTCAGGGCAGGGTGGGAAACCTCTGCAGCCGGCCTCCACTTCCGCAACCCCTGCCCCTTCGATCCTGTCCAACAGCATTGCGGAAATGCCCCCTCCTCGGAGCACGCCGTCCTCTCCCGTCCCTTCTCCGCACACATACAACGGGTCCCCCCCTGCCTCCCGCTCCAAGTCTGTGAGCAGCGCGGCTGTGAAGTACCCCATCACCCCTCCTCCCAAAAAAGGCTACATGCTCTTTCCTGAGTCGTCCATCACCAAGAGTAAAAGCCACGAGAGCCAACTGGCCAACAAGGTGGTGGACATCGACCCTGTCAAGTTAGTAGCTTTCTTCATTTCTGCTTTCTGTCATACAGGCGAAATTTTCTGAGATGGCCTCCCCGTTGCTGAGTAGAAAAACAACTGTTTTAGACAGGTGGACATCTTTGAGTTTTATTATGATTTAGAAAAAGGGCAAGGCTTTCTGTAAACATGGTTCTGTTTTGTCAGAGATGGATGTTAAGTTTGAAGGTCCCACCTCATAAAGTATTGAAAGGAGGGTTCAACATGTAAATTCAATCCTTATTTGGTTTTTGGGAATAGCATTATTTTTTATGTCCATCAAATGACCATTTGTGTGTGTAAGTGTGAGACAGAGAAAGGGAGTTAATGAATGCCTTTGTGTGTAAGTATTTGCCATGCTGCAGCGAGTTTCTCTTTGTGGACATCAACAAATTTTCATATTTTGTCTTTTCCATACAATATGATTTTGCATTCCTTGATGCATTAAGATATTGACTGCTCTGGGTAAGACTCTGTTATACGTCAGATATGGAAAGTTGTGCGATTTCACTGTGTACCCAGTACATTAATAGGGCATTGAAGGGCCTGCATACCCCCCGGGGCAGTACCACTGACTGAAGTGTCTTTAGGCCATTCCCAAAGGGGGGACATACATCGTTCAAGCATAGTAGAATTGTAAATGGGCTGACTCATGTCACACTCATAACTGTGCCTGATCTACAACAGGGAACTGCTGCTTTTTCTTTCCTGATCCTTACTATTTTCATTTACCTCTACTTCTTTTGTATGTTTGTCACTCCCTTGTGACCTGCTATTTTGGGGTGCCTTGATAGTCGAAGCAGACCTTGTGCTGTTGAAGCTAGAGAGGTGAGCAGTCTAGTCTGATTCCCGGTAAAAACTTCTCTGTTGACACCCACCCCTTGGCACTCATATGACCTTATGCAGTTGCGAGCGCCGTAAAACTCTCTACTATAAAAAGAAAAGAAGGGCCTGCACCTCCAAAATAATCTGAATCACATTAGTGTATGTGTGTGAGAGGGAGGGAGGGAGGGAGGGTGGTGGTGGGAGCTCTGGTGTGATTTGTTCCTTCTGTTGTATCAAACATCACTCACCCTTTTCTCTTCCTTCTTTTGTAGGTATGTTACTCTCTAGTTCACCTCTAATCATTGGCACTTAACTAAATTTGTTTCCTCTTTCACACTGTGCGTAGGAGCAACAAGAGAAAGCCCCAGGGGATGAACATCAAGCTGAGCGGCAGCCACGAGGTTCTGTTCCGACGCAGGCTGTCCACGGACGGCTCGGAGACGGGCAGCCGAGGGCCCTCAGGTCACACCTCCCCTGTCATCTCCTCCCCGATCCGATCCCCTCCTTACAAGCATGACCCGAGTGCTGGCCAGATTGACGATCACTCCAAGTATTCCAGTAAGCATGCACTGGGACAGTTTGAACCTTCTTCCTCGCTATTCTTGTTTTTATCTTTTTTGTTTTGTTTTGAAAAAGTGAAAAAAAACAACTAATCAAAAATGTTTATTTGGGTTTTTTTTTTGGTCCTGAAGACATGTTGCCCTTTTGAATGGGGTCCTTTTTACTCTGTCTGTGAGCACAGGGGCATGTAAGCAAATAATGAAAATGGATAGAGAAAAATAAAAACGGAGAAGGGAAAGAACAGGGGGACAGCAGTGAACACATTGTGAGGGAAAGAGTGTGTGTATGGGAGGAAGAGGGAATATTGGAGGAAAAGAGTGGATACTTAAGGGAATGCATGAGCAGTGCTTCCACTCTTCCGTATTTTTACGCAAATCCGTACTTTCTGCCAGTTCCGTACTTGCTCTTCCATCATTATCAACTCCCTCCTGAAAAATCTGCGACAGTGTTGGACTTTCGAAATTCCATAGCAAAAGATCCGTACTCGCCTTCGTATCGTCTTGTATAAGTTACAGATATTTACGGTAATTTTCTCGGCAATAAGTTAATGTTATAGAAACCTGCCGGCAGTACATTTTTTACCTGCAGATTGATCAAAATCTAGCGAACTTTTGTATCACTTTCCTCCTTTCTATCGTTCCCTCATTCCGTCTGTCTATCTTCGGCAGATTGTTGCCGCGGCTGGAAAATCTGCCTGTGGATCAAGTATATTGACTTGTGATCTTAGACAAAAAATTAATGTCAGAAAGAAACTTTTTTGCAAATTTATTGTCTAGATCTAGAGAAATTATCAGAGCAAAGATTCTACGGCGTGGGAACATGATAAGGGCCGCGATGAAAGAAATTTGTGCTACTAAAATCAAGAATAATTTGAAGTGGTGTTCCGAGGTTGTGACATGAGACATTCAGACGTGGAAATTGAGGAAAATTAGGGTATAAGCTGGGTAACAGTATTGTGAAGGTACATATCTATTCATTATTCCAAGGTTTGCCTTCTATCAATGGTGCGATGACAAATTAATTGAATTACAGTAGCAATGGAAGGGGAACCTGCTTTTAAACATTGCCAGTAGTGGAAAGATATGTAGGTGAAGAAATCAAACGAGACAAAATCTCGTTAAAAAAAATTGGTAGTATGGGTTGTTGGCAATCTGTTCAAACAGGCTCCCAAATGCCATTTTGAACCCTCTAAAAGTACTACATTTCAATTTCTTCGGGGGCTTCGCCCCCCGAACCCCCAACGGGACGCTGTCCCTGGACCCTGCTGGGGGCCTGTGCAGACCCCAGGCAGAATTTTTCTTACTTTTCAACTTCAGCTGGTGGAAGCACTGATGAGGGAAGGAGTGGAGATATCTTCTCAAAGGGTGTGGAAGGAAATTTTCTCTTGCTTCCAGCCAGCTCGTTTGCAAGAATTAACCCTTAGAGCGCTGACTTCTTTCCCCTTATATTTTCCCTCTGTGCTGAATTTATTTTGGAAAAACGCCAGATTTGCACATACGCTTTTTTTTTTGCTAATAACTTTTTTATTTGTCAAAATTTCTAATGAAGGTAAGAATAAAAGTTTTAGAATATTGAAAGTTCTTTATGAATATGTGAAGCAAAAAGTATTTTGTGAAGTTATTGTTTTAGTAATGACTGAATAAAAACTGCCGGTTCATTAGATCTCTAGATCTAGACCAGAGTCTAGATGCTTCGTAAGCCAACGTTATATACCACAAAGTGTTAGCTCTAGCATCAAAACCCTCGAAATCATCTTCCGATTCAAGGAAAATACGCGGAACATCTTCATCTGAATCTCGACACTATTTTCATGTTTGTCGCGGGTCGCAATCGCGAATTTTCCAACGTCACTGTCACTCAACTTCAAAGTGAAACAAAAAACTCCTCGCAACTCGATCGATACCCGTGACAAGAAAAATGGCGGGCGAAATCAATTCTGCGTAGCCTACTAGCCAGCAGTATAAAAATTAGTTTTTCGTTCTTTTTGTATATCGTGTTATACTATGCCAATGTCTGTCGCGATCAGCACTCTACGGAAGTTCGGGCAGTCGCGACCGGTGGTCGCGATCAGCACTCTAAGGGTTAAAAGGTTGTTTGCTGGAGCTTCTCAAGAGTTTAAAGATTGCTTTCAATGTGAGGAAGTGTTCACGCTTTTCAAGACAATCGAGGAATCATGAACACATTGCTGTCCACTGATAGCTTCGCGAATGGGAAAATGATACGGTCGTAGATGAAGGTCTGCCTTGAGAATGCGGACCGTTGAGATGTAGGAAAGTCATTGCTGCAGACGTCGACTACGGACAGACGTATCATGGGGCTCATCTACTGAATTCTGCACCCTGGTGACATTTAAAGGGGTGCGAACAGTGTGTGTTTGACCTGAAGTAGTCGTTTTGTCTGAGAATTTGTAGTTCTGATTCTCTACAGGTCCTAACTGATGGACCATTTCCACCCTTGACATCAAAGAAGGCCTTCAGGTCACTTTAACATTATTTCGTACCTTGGGTGAAAGTTATGAAATGAGTTCAATACAAAAAAGCTCTCTACTCTTTACTAATCTTAACCATGATCTCAGCAGGCCAAGGAAACTTGAGAAAAGTTATCTGCAAACTTCTGTTGGCCTGTTAGACAACTGTATTTTGCAATATGACGCAATTGTTGGGAATTTTAGTGGTAGGCCTATCAGGTTTTTTTTTTTAATGCACTATGTAGAGAAAAACTATTCTGTGGATTTATCTAAAATGAATATCTGACAAACTCCTTTTGACTTCCAAATGTTGTGTACACATTTGAAGCGCAAAACTTTTGCGCTCATATGACCTTATGCAGTTATGAGCGCCGTAATACTTCTACTAATAGTATAGTAGAAACGCAAAACTTCACTGTGGAGGAAAGTATTAACTTTTTTTGGGTCATTCTGTACTTTGATAACAATATTGGTGCTTAAAGATAGTTGGAACTTCTAGATATTATTCTAAAAGGCAAATCTCATTTCCTAGAAGGAGACTAGTGCTTTTTTTTCAGATGAAAATGATTGTGAGTGGCAGAGTGATGGACAATATCAGAGTCTTTGGATCAAATTGTGATACATAATAAGCTTATTTTGAGGTACCTACAGTGATGTTGAGATCAAGCGCAGTTTGGGCCATGGAATCTTATTTTGTTAGGCAAATGGCATTGTTCGTTTCAAGATAAAAGTAGGCTTCTTTGTTTTATATGAAAGTGATATATTCAAACTTTTTTTATCGCTTGCTCACATACCCTGCTTTATTGTTTTTGTTCTAACTTGTGCAAAATTAAAAATATCCCACTAAAAAAAAATCTTTATCATCACATCTGTAAGATAGGTGCATACTGCTTTAAGATTGCCTGTCAAATGCAAAAGGCCATTGTCAACTAAAAGAGAGTTAAAACTTAATAAATTGAGGCAGTATATACAATTAAAAAAAAATTGTTATAGACTGCTTTTTTGTGGGTACAAAAGTTGTTTTTCTCTGGGTACAAAAGTTGAAAAGTAATTTGATTTTAGTAAGCAGTTGAAAAGAGAATAAATTTGAAAACTATGGTAAAGAAGTGCTTGTAGGATAACCGAAGAGAGGACTGGTGACATGTTTTTTTCCTATGTGTGTGTGTGTGTGTGTGTGTGACCTGTATTCTTTTTTTTTTCTTTTAGTGTTGCTTTCCTTGAAAAATTTGTGGATTCAATTTGCTTTGCACATAGCATAGTTCACTCTCTCACAACAATTTGATGTTAACTCCTGCTGAGCTGAGTGTTGATTGAAGATATTTGTTGAAGTAAATGCTTTTCTCATAACAGTTCCTTGTTGACTTTGACTCTAATAATGTTCAAGTGTGATTTATTTTACATGACTGAACAGCCGGACATTAACAGTCAACAACTGCTTTCACTAACTGCTTTTGACAACCCTTAAAAAAGGCACTGTAGAGAAAGATTTTTTTCATGGAGAGTAAAGTTTGTTGTTTGTCTACTTCAGTTTTTTGAGTCATCAAAAAAATAGTCTTATAGCAATGGTATAACATACTTTGTCGTTTCTGTCTTTCTTACTCCCCCCCCCCCCCCAGCAATTTAGTGTGTGTCATTGGGCTTCTCTTTACTCAAAACTCTCGTACACACTCACACACACTCAGTGAGAGGTTGGCGGGTGCTCTGGTGTGGTTTGTTCCTTCTTTCCTATCAAACATCAATCGTCCTTCTCTCCCCTTCTTTTTTTAATGTTTGTTACTCTCTTGTAGCACCTCTAATATTCTGGTGCTCATATGACCTTATGCTGTTGCGAGCTCCGTAAAACCTCTACTAAAACTAAAACTAAACACACTCTCAAAGAAACGTTTTTTTAATATAGGATATAAACTAAACACACTCTCAAAGAAACGTTTTTTTAATATAGGATATAAACTAAACACACTCTCAAAGAAACGTTTTTTTAATATAGGATATTCGCGTATGAGGATCAAATTGTCATTTTACCTTGTTTTTGACCAAGATTATTATTGACGCAAAATCTTGTGGCAGCAGTGTTCCAGATTATTTGAGGAACTTTTTTGGGCCTGTGGCAGTTCATATCCCTTCTCGGAGACTACTCAATGTCAGAGGATATAACGTTTGGTCTGTAGTGCTTGTGGATGACGCAGGGTTTTTTTGGTTCTTTTCCTTAACACTCTTTCAAGTTTGCTGTTTCTTTTCTGAAGACGAATCTTTTTTTTTTCTTCTTGGCATGCCTTATTTTTCTTGTCAAGCTCCTCATGCTTTGATGCTTGCCAAATTTACACACTGCAGCCTTTTTTTGTAAGCCATTGAAATTTTGGTTTTAAAATTTGATCACTTAAGGTAAATAACATTTATTATGAGCTGCTTATTGCATTGGCTAAACACCAAAGTTCTTATAGTCTTTTAACAACTGGAAGTTCAGAATTAAGGAAAAATGGACCTCAGGAAAGTTAATGGGTGATATATCATTTCTATGTTTGTTTCCATTTGTTTACCTTTGATTTTACTTCCCCTGAAGAGGACTAATGGTAGTGTGCCACTGTTTTCTTGGTATTGCTCTAGAAAGTTGTGCTGCAAATCGTTCATGGAGTTGATAGTCTAGTGATTTGGCTATGGGTTTTGTAATCGTGAGATTATGAGTGTGGTGGTTTGAGGCTCAGCTCTGTCGAACCTTGTGTCCTTGGGAAAGGCATTTACACTAATTTTCCCAACTGGCTTTATCCTTTTGAAGATAGATGCTAAACTTGAAGGTCCTGCCTCTTTAAAGCCGCACAATTTTGCAAGGTCTGGGCTTTAATCCTATACAATTTCATTATTTTTTTTTCTTCACGAATTGTTCTTCTCGAGAAGCCCGTGTCATTTAAGTTTTTGTGTGTGTTTGTCTTGTGTTGTGAACCTCTCTTGCACTCTTTTGAGATGAGTTTTAAAAGGCATGCATTTTCTCTTGATTCCAATTGTGTATTTTGTTGAGATTTTGTCACTTTTCAAATGACTTGTCGTGACAGAAATCTTTCTACTTTTGCAGATACACTTACAGTTCCCAAATCTCCAAAGACACCCCTAAAACTCCACCATCAGATATATCATAGGTAAGATATTTTTCTCACTTTGTCCTGTAATGTTCTGTTACTGGTTTATATTTTGTGTACCATATATTTTTAAAAAGCGTATTATGAAAAAAAAGTTTGATGCTTGTGAACAGTGTTTGATCAAGTTAGACTCAACTGAGGTAAAATGAAACCCATGTCCAAGTTTTTCTGATGTGCTTTACTAGCCAAGAGGCAAAGAGAATAGCGGCCTTTGCTGGATTTCCATAGATGGAGTTTTAGTCAAGTCTTTCCTCTTTAGTCTCTCCGACCAGCATCTGTGGTTTTGCGGCAGTGGATTCACTGTTGCAGGCTGAAGAACATGAGTTCGAGTCCCATGTGGGATGTTATATATCTCTTAGCCCTTGTTGGCTCTGAATGGCAGGGTCGAAGAAGCTGGCCTCCTAAATGATCAGAATAGTGTTGGTAGGGGATGTAAAACACCTACAAACACATTATATATTGTCTTTTAGTTCAGATTTTAAGGTTCATGATTACTAGTAGTGAACTTTGGGATTTGGATGGGAAGCCACAGAAATAAAATAAAAGTTCACCATTCCCCAGCTGACAGATTTATACTTAATCATCACCTTACATAGTATATCACTGGCAATATGCAGATAAGAATTAGGGTGAGGAGGTTAGGGTTATTTTGGAGTGTGTGAGAGGGACTAGTGGGCAGTATCTTGAGATATAGGGGAAAATAAGAGAAAAAAGGTATTGCTAGGTTTTTCTTTCAGCCGGCGAATTTAGCTGTGATGAGAAGGGTTGGGGCATTGGTCATTATGATGAGGAAGGTGTTGCTCAGATTTTTGCAGGTGACAAATTTGATTTCAGATTGGCTCTGTAAAGAACATATTTAAATTTGTCATTAGTTAAATATAATTGCCAACCCTTACATAAAAACGTTTAATACCTTTTTGAGGGTCTGAGTATGGGAGTCTTGTTTTCATATTGGAAAATACATATTCTCTCTTTCAAGAAATGCTTTTCACAGACTTGCAGATGCTGAAGAAAAATTCTGAACTTTCAGGACTGGATTTGCAAATAATAATGACTAAATAGCACACAAGTCAAATGGAGGTCTTTTCCTGCAGGTCTTTTTTGAACAGCTTGAATTTATTGAATTCAGAAAAGTGAGCGAAGGCTTTGGAGATGGGTTTACATGGCTAGTGACCACCATCTTGATCCATCACTTGGGTAGAAATTTTTTAGTTTTTGAAAAGTTAGCAGCTATAGTTATGAATATGATCAGTTCTGTGGTATCAGGCTCGTGTTGCCTCACATCTTACTGCAGTCTGGGATTTCCCTGAGCTCACTATTTGTCCCCAGCCGCCCTCACATGGGGATTCCCTGTGTGAAGTGATGCTTTCAATAAACAAATAGGTGCATTGTATCCCAGTGTTTATCCTTAAAGAAATAATGGGGGTGGGGGAACAGAACTCTTAATAAGATCAAACACTCAGATCAGACCTTTTTTAGTGCTTATTCAAATATAGGTTAATTTGCTTGAATTGCTTGAACGATTGCAAGGCGATCATACATGACGGACAGATATTAAATGAGCAAATTATGGTAAATTGTAGGTTAAAAGAAACTATTGAATATAGTGCTGCTTCTGATGACATTCATGCAAGTGAAATAGGAATGGTTCTCATTCAGATGATAGTGACGGAATGAAAATTAGATCTATGTATTGATTCCAAGGCCAAGGGGATTTCTATTTCACTTTCACTGAAAACTGAGCGCTGTAAAAGTGCACTCATCAGTATTTTCTAACCAAATGACATTTGCACTTTGTAATGATTTTATAATGTGTCCAAACTCATTCACACTATATATGATGGCATGCTTGACGGATAAAGATTGATTCGCGCCACCTCCTTTCCATTCTTACAATAAATCAAGTTGCTTTTGCGCTTGACACCACGGCGACCCACACATGGCCCCACACAGCTAGTGGAGATCGCAGTGTGTGTAGTAGGTCAAGCTGGTTCTGAATGAAGGGCTCATGTAGACATATACTGCTTGAAGATGTATAGTGTAATAATTTCATGTAGTGCAGCTCTTGTACAGTTTTTATAGACGTGGTTTTTGAAAGACATGACATTTTCAGACTTGTAGTTTACAATATGGGTACAGTTCAGAGATAATGTACCAGTTGAAGAAATTTTTGTAGAAGAAGATTTTTTAAAAAGAAAGAACTTATCCATGCTTGTAGCAGGCTACAAATTATTGCAAGAAGAGTCACTTAGATGCAACTTTTGCCATATGTTATTTTGTCTTCAGCTATTTCATCTAGTCCTGCTTGAAAAATATTCTCGTTAAGCCTGCATCAAAATTGCAGGAATAATAGTGATTTGGGTTCTGTTAGGTCTGTCCCCAGTGGTTGCACGCTGGCAGCATTATGACCCTTTTTTCTTTATGATTATCGTGATAGTAATTGTTTGTTTACGATGACCAAATGATAAGCACTGGGTGTTTCTCTCTACTTCAAGAAGTGCTGGGTTTCAATGCTGTTGTGACATTCTAATAACAATTTTTAAGACAGATTTGTCAACAGTTTTTTTGTAGGGGCTTCTTCTGTTATGTCTTGTGTACTCGGGGAAACTATCCCGAGAGACGAAATAGAATTCTTTCTTGACAATTCAAATCAAAACAAAACAAAAAAATGGTTCACATGTATGTCTTCTTCTTCACCTTTTAAAATAATACTAGGCTGATTGTTTTGAAGGCTTGGAAACGCAATTTAAAAGTATACATTTATTTTTAGTTGTTCAATAATAATTTTGCATTGTACAGAGTTTAAAACCTTCAAGGGATTAGGCGCTGTATAAACTCACATTATTATTAAAGATGTTATAATTAAAGCAAAAAAAAATCTTTTACACATGTGTATCATTCTTCTTTTTCACCTTTCTAATTAATGCTGGGCTTGTTGTTTTGAAGGTTTGCAAACACATTTAAGATCACCACTTGCGACCACTGTCATAAGCAGATGATTCTGGGCTACAAATGCAAAGATTGCAAGTAAGCCGCTGCAGCAGCGCTGTGCATGTGTGCAGCAAAACCCGTACTGGCGCTACTGGTCCCTATAGCAACCCCTATGCTTGTGTTACCCACTCTTTAATTGTCATTTCCTGTGTGTGTGTGTGTGTGTATGTACATACACGTATATATGCATATTGACTGCTCTGTGTAAACCCTGTTATGTGTCATTTTTCAAAAAAAGCATATGGTGGAGTCTTACACTAAGCAATCAATATAGACGTGTTATATATATAATATATATATATATATATATATATATATATATATATATATATATATATATATATATATATATATATATATATATATATATATATATATATATATATATATACACACATAGTATCATACTGCATGTTGTCCCATAGCAGTATTCACGTATATATCTTAGTAACATTGTTATTATATTCACATATTAACTCTGTGTTTGCATCGCTTTCAGCTTAGTTTGTACTTACCGAACAGTTGCACTAAGCAAAATCAGTTTAGCATGAGTCCTCGATCTCTGTGCACTTATATAATAATCGACTTCCTGGCGGGGAATCATTCTGAGCAATGATATGTGAATACAGAGAGAGTACATAGATCTTAACAGAAAATTATTGTGATAGTAAGAAGGAAAAAAACCCCGTTGCTCAGTGAGTGTAGTGTTGTCTTCTTCTGGTAGGCTGTTGGGTGTTTTTTCATTACCTGGCAGTTGAGTGTGCAAACTGGAGTATTTTTTAGATTGTCAGTTTCCATTTTCATCGAGTTTGTAAATTCCAAATTCCAAGCTGAATTTTCCCGTTCAATCATTCGATAGCAAATCATGTAAGTCTGGTATATACGCATCCCAATGTTATAGATAAAGAATTTGAAGAAAAAAAAAGAATCTTTGTATAATTTCATGAAAGTTCGCTTTTTGGGATGCAATGTTGAATGTTAAGGGAAATAAATGTATCGGATGGAAAGAGTCTGATGTGTGGGTTTATTTTAAAAATTGGTTTCTTTGAGAAACTGTTTATGACGGGCTATGTTTAGGTCCAGGTTAGACTATTATAAACAGTCTTTTTGATGATAGCTTTTGGTATGATGAGTCGAACATGAAACTATGTGTTTCTATTGCTGGTCGGTGGTTTTGGGTTCTGAAGACTAACCTGCAGGCTGGCTGAGCTTTTGGCACTCATATCCGAATTATTCGATTTTTTCCCTTTTTTTTTTCTCCACTTCCTTCTTTTTCTAATAAGATGTAACAAGCTGCTTATATTTATGTAGATAATCAGCGTCTATTTATAGTATTACGATGATTTTTTTCGTAATAGAATCTGCTGTATGGGAAGAAGCTTTTGAAGAATGGTAAATGTGTAGGTTCACCGTTCTACTTGGGCTGTAAGTCTCCTGTCGTAGGGTAGAGCTGCATGTGTGTTACTGGTGGTAAGTGGATCTTCATCACCACCATCATCATCATCATCATCATCCTCAATATCATTGTCACTGTTGTCACCATCTGAGCAGTGTGCGTTCCTCCTCCTCCTCCTTTTCCTCCTCCACTTTTTTCTTTTGGTTAGAGAGCACTCCCTCCTTTGGGGCTCGGCCTCTCTAACCCTCCCTCCACCCCCCTTGTACTCGCTGCCAGTAGCACATATATATATAAATATATATATATATATATATATATATATAAATATATATATATATATATATATATAAACAGTCTCCCCTCCTTCCTCCTCTTCCTGTTTGATTGTATGCCCATACTCTATTATACGTGCTCTCCTCTCTCTCTCCTTTTGGTACATACACCACCACCTCCTCCCCTCCCCCCATCACCCTTCACCCACCCACCCCACCCACTGGCCGCTCTAGATGTACCTCGTCCATGTTTGTGCTTGCCCCCTGTGATCTGTGTCAGACCTTCGCCATTCGTGGGAGAACGTGTAAAAACTGCAAGTAAGTGACCTGCTCATTTCTCTGTTGGCTGATTGGTTTTTACGGGCAGCCGGAGGATGCCTGCCACTGGTAGGTCCTGCTTCTGTTCTCTTATCACCTCTGTTGTTTCTGTCTGTCCGTCTCACTTTTTCCCCAGCACTAAATTACTGCGGGTGGGTGGAGGGTGCCAGTGGTAGGACCTACCTTCTTTTTATTTCCTTCGCTCTATTTTTTCTCTTTGTCTGTCTGTCTCTATTTTTCCTCATCACAAAATGACTTTCATTTTGGGGGATGTTTCCTTGTAGCCAACCGTGGTCGTTTTTTCAAAATAGGCCTTTATTTTTCTCTTGGGTGAATCAATAAATGATTGTTTTCCCCCACACAAAATCCCCGTGTCTGTCCTCAAGGTTTTTTCTTTTCTTGCAGTACAGTCCGTGCCGGCTTTAAGCACGCCGGCCTTAAGCACGTTTCGGACTCAAGCACGCTAAACGGCTCTTACCGAATTTTTGCTATATAAATTACACGCCTTTAAGCACGGTAACTTCGGCTTCAAGCACACTTCATTTACAAGACAGTCAATATTTTCATGATGACCCATTGAAGTTCGAACACAGTTTACACCGCAGCAGTGGAGTGTGTCAAGAGAAACCCAAAGAACGCAAGTGATGGATACACACACTCACACGGGCGGAGAGGAAGGCAGAGAGATGCACACAGCCGCGCGCGCGCGGACATAGGATCTAGCCTTGGCCTAGGGCAAAGCTACACATGACCAAAAAAAATACTAAGAGAGTCGGGGAGACGAGAAAGGGAGGCTGGCTGCGATTTCACCTTTGACCCTCGCTGTCCATTAATCCTGATTGTGTATCACGCGCGAGGTGGGATGAAGGCGGTGGTATGAGTGGCACAGCGGGCAGTGGTGCGCACAGGCAATGTGTTACAGTAGGCCTAGTGTGCTGTATCGTGACTGGCCGTCTAAATTAAGTTTTCATTTCCCATTCGACCACAAAACAAAAACAAACAAGCGAACAAAAACTGCCATGGCGGGTGTCTAAATAACAGTGCACACTTTTGCGGGACCGCTATAGGCCTACTTACAAACAAAGGGAATAGCACGGGGAATTTTCTACATGAAAATCTCTGGATTATATCGACTTCGCACTTAAGCACGCTTCGGCTTTAAGCACGCTTAAGCTTTCTCCCGATGACCGTGCTTAAAGCCGGCATGGACTGTACTCATTTCTATTTTTTTTCTGTGGACAGTTTGGTTTTCCCCACATTATGACTGTGTCTTTCTTCTAGGCCTTTAACTTTCGCTCAAACTTTTCTCTCACTTTTTTCGCTCCTCCCCTTGTTTGTCGTTGATGGAAGTCGAAGAACATGTATCTGCCTTGTTTATAAGCTGATGGTTAGAGGGCGTTGTGATAGGTCCTACGTTTTTTTTTCTTTCCCTCTGTTGTTGCTGTGTATCTGTCTGTCTGTCTGTCTGTCTGTCTTGCCTTTTCTCTGCTCTAAATGACGGTTATTGTGTCAATGTGCATCTCTGTACTGTTCCTCTGTGTTCCTGTCCTATTATTTTGGCTCACACAGAATCTCCTCTCTGTCTCTGTCTCTCTCTGTCTCTGTCTGTCTCTGTCTCTCTGTCTCTCTCTCTCTCTCTCTCTCTCTCTCTCTGACTCTCTGACTCTCTGACTCTCTTTTGGGATATTGAATCACTTCCCATCATGCCCCTGTCTGTCCATCATTTCTAGCATTTTTCCTTCTCTTGAGGCTTCTCCACCGTTCCCGCATTATATTCCACTCCTTTTTGTCCTCTTCGTTGCTTCTTTTGTAGGGTGTATTGTTTTTCTTTCTTATTTTTTGTTTGCTTGTGGGTCTTTCACAAGCTGTGTTGTATGTTGTTAAAGCAAACCTCTCGATCATTCTTCATGTTTTTTAGACATATTAATTTTCCTACTTTTAGGTAATTACTTTAGAGTATGTTCACCCGTACGACTTCTGTGCTTGATTGAAAACACACTTTGACGCCCAGACTCCTGCCAGAAATATGCTATTAACAATATCTCTGCCTCTACATGTAATATTGTGTCTGTCTGGTGTCTCTATACAATCAGTTGTGTATCATTAATTTGGCTGAATCGTTGGAGGACATTAATTGTTATGTCTCTGTAGCACTGTTAATGTTGATAAAAAAACTGTTCTATTACTAATGGACAAGTAGCAACTTAAAATTACCTATACAGTCAGTGAAGCAAAAATGTGTTTTTTCAGGAGTTTGTAAAGCTCTGTTTGATTCTCTTGTAAATCCAAGACTTAGAAATGTCATTTGATTTAGACTGCCAATGGACGACAATAAGTTTTGAAGTAAATGTAATTATAGTTAGGAGTTGATCATTTTTCACTTCACTATAAAATGATAATATATTTTGAAGTTAATATAGCAAGGAGTTTTTATTATTGTTTTTCCCCCTTTCTAACTTTTCAGAGGTAGGGGATACGTTTGAATCAAAGGAATTTCTGTCATCGTAGCTTAGTCCCTGTGGTGTAGATGTAGTAGATTGGTATTTCATGATGTGTAGACACCGATTTCCCTGTGTATGCTGTAGCTAGTTCTCTGATGGAAATAGAAAAAAAAAATTAACTTATTGAATTTGCATGCCAGTGTGGGCATACTTTTATTTACTACTACATGGATTACTAAACAAGAACGTCATGTTCTTTGGTGATGCTTCAGTTTTAATTTCAAAGTCTCAGTGACTTTCTATTTTCTATGGAATATTGAAAGAATAGAGGACACTTCTGTTTCTGTTTTGAAGACTAAATAATTGTATCATATAAGAAATTAAGTAACAGCAAGTGTGTGTAATCATCTAGTAACAGTAACTTGATAAAAGCTTGATGAAGTCTTATTGGAGAGTTTTTCAAAATAAGAATCGTCTTTTGGGTTCAAGGGTGATAAAAAACTCTTGTTTACTCTGCCTATTATTGCAGTTGCCAGTTGAATAAGTGGAGGATTTTTGTCCTTCCTGGTTTTACTTTGAGGGGTTTTTGAAGGTTTTCAAAGAACCTGAATATGTGTTTGAAGTTTTGATTGCTTGGAATAAATATCTGAATTATTTAGAGAGTTGGTTTGATTTTTTATTTAAGTTTTATACTGTCTAGTTTAAGCTGTTGAGTACGCCACTTTTGCAGCAAATGTTAATTTTACCTCTGTGCATTAATAAGGAAGAATATTGTTAGCTTTCTTAGACCATTAGATTCTTTTTTTTTTAACATCTTCACTAAAATATCCAATTTTACTTTTAATGCAAAGCACGCGAGTGCAATGGAGTTGATCAGTCAGGTAGATTAATTCTTCAAAGAAATGTGAGTAGATCTAGCTTAAAGTTGCTATTTCTTTCCTGACCCTGGCAGTTTGTAATCTTATTTCCTTTTTGAATCTAATTTCAGTTACAGTTTAGAATATGGATAAACCATTTTTGCATCCTTTTTTAATAATGTTGTATGAAACCTCATAAATAGTAAAATATTTGTTATAAAATTCTTATTTGAATGTTTTATATATATGTTTATATCCATCTTTACAGGTCATAAGAATAATTTTTAAATATTTTTTTTATTCATTGTAAACAAATTCTGCAATATTTTTTTTATTGAAAAGAAAAACCAGACTGATTGCTTTATTTAGAATTAAGCAAATGGTATACACCTGGAACTGAGTAATGCAAGATTATACCACAACCATGTCCAGGGGGCTTGTGAAAGGAATACAAATGTAAAAGTGAATTTCTATGGTAGCACTGTTTTTAATCTTATAATGCTATTTTTTTGCTTTAGCTTTTGACTTTATTTAGGTTGTTTCATATTTGTTCATGCTATACTATACTATGACATTAGACATTCCCTTTCTCATTCATTTCCCCTTTTTTGCTGTGACAGGAAAAAATTCCATAAAGACTGTGCCCAACGTGCCCCGCCTACCTGTGGTCTTTCAGATGCTACAGTCGATGCCCTGCTGGAGTGGAATGGTATGTCCAGCTTCGGTTAACCTGTCGGTCTTTGTGCGAGGCAGGGAGGGGCAGGGCAGGGGTGGAAGGGAGCAAGACAATGATGTTTGTTTAAAAAAAAAAAAGAAGAAAAGTCACCAAATAGAAAAATGGCAAAAGAGATAAATGTACCATTTGTTTTTTTTAGTAGGGCTGAGGTGGAGGTTACTAAGTTATTAGAACAGCGTAGCAAGTTGTGAATTTGTTTTGTACTTAAAAATTTTTTTCTTAAAAAGAGAGATAAATGTATAATAGATATTGCACGAATTGGTTAAGTTTTTGTGAAGCAGAAGTGAAATAAAGTGACGAAATGGTTTGTCCTTTAACAAAAGTATAAACAAGGAAGTTATCAGGGCTGAAAATTGTCCGCCTAAAGGCGGAATTCCACTCATTGCAACACAGCCGTCCGTTCATTCGAATGCCTCTTCCGCCTTTTTTCAGAGTTTTGTATTTTAATAATATTGTAGTAAGAATAAAAAGACAATAATAGTTTTAGAAGTTTTTTAACTGCTCACTGGACGAAACGGAGGTGTGTGCGCATTCGTGTGTCGACCGATACCATTCAATCGAGTACTTTTTATTCTTCTTCATTACTGGTAGAATCGCATTCAGTTGTGACAATTGAGTACCGGTTGTTATTTGGAGAACTGTGGCAATGATGATGGTCCACTCCTCTCTTTGAGCCAATTAAAAAAGTGTCCTCAAAATTTAGTGGCGCCTTCTTCGCAAATGCGCACCTTTTGCGAACAGTTACCCTACTTGTGTGAAAAAAATCAAATGAAACTTAACAATATTTTGAATAAATAAGAATTCAAATTTCGGAAAAACCCTTTTTTTAAATGGTTACGCTGACAAAAAAGAGGAAGAGGCAACTGTTTTATTTGTTTAATTTTACTTTAGAATGAGAGGAGAGAGGTCATTAAAATTTAAAAAACCTAAAACTCCGCACTGAACGAACCCGAACAGCTGATGAACAGCATTCCATCTGTGCATGCAAGGAGGTGCTATTCCTATTCTTCTTCTGGAGAAACGAAAGAGAGCTTCAAAACAAAGACTGCAGCGCCATCTGAACTATTGCGCGGACTTCCGGCGGACACTTTTTTGGCTGAGTGGACCATCTTGTAATGTATCATCATTGACTGTGGTGACTTTGGCCCACGCATTATATAGGTAGCGTAAACACTGCCTCACGGGCACTCGCAGCCTTCCGAGCACGTGATATCGTTGAAATCGGGGTAATTCAGATTGCTGTTTCTTTACTCTTTCACTGTAAAAGACCAAATGCCATACACCTTGTAAAAGTTCAGATTTTCCTCGTTACAATGGTGTAAGTTGTTTAAATGTCCGCTTATTAGGAGCTGGAGAATCGCAGAGGAAAACGAAGCCCCACGCAGTTGGCCGGTTAAAAAATTGACTTGCGTGCATTCAAATGCTTCGCGGAAGGATTGATAATTAAATACTTTCTTTAAACTGGCTTTCCCGTGGTAAATTTTTGGCCTTTGGCTTTTAAATAGAAAGCGTTTAAAAATCCCGTCAAAATTTTCAAAGATCATTTTTTACTCGAAATATGTAAAATACAGACTCAAAAAAGGTACCAATAGAAAGATCAGTTCATTTTCTATTAGAATAAAGTAACCATCTTGTAAATATTTTGCATCGATCATTCCGCGAAACTCGGAAAGCATGTGGCCCCCCCACGTGGGTACCCTACAGTACAGAGCCGACTCGCTCGCTGCTGGGGCCGATGCGGCGCTGCAGGGTCAACGCTCAGTGTTCTTGTCGAAATAACGACAGATCATTGTGTTTGAGACGATAAAATACTGATTTGTAATGAGCTCACAGTCTTGAACAAAATTAGGCTCCATACACGTTTTAGTGATTGTACTCTGTTAATGTGGAGATGTTTAGTGCACTTGGTACTCTTTTATTATCTGTCAAACATGGGGTTGCAGCCAGTGAGTGACTTTAACAAATTTGATCAAATTTTAAACTACTACCATTTGTTGTAAAGCTACTTTGAAAATTTAGTTTCTGGCACCTACGTTATATCACAACCCTGTAGCCTAAATCATTGAAAAAAAATTTTTGCTCCACAAAATCATTAAAACACTGAAAATGGCCTTTCGTGTGAACCCTGTTAATAATAATTTTTTTTTATCTCAAGAATGATGTATTTGTACAAAGTACAATGTATAGTAATGGTTTATGTTCTTTTTGGCAGTATTTAGGTAGTTATTATTTTTCTCTAAAATTAGGGTAACAAGCCCTAGTTTTCAGCCTTATTTGTGGTATGCCATTCTCAGCCCCGAGTTATAGTGAGTACTATAGTTGTGTTTATGTGGTGTACAATTTTTTTCCCTATTGCCATGGGAAAATTGATCAGAGCCAATAGAAAGAAGAATCGATTTGATACATAATACTTGTCTCTTTGTTCTCCATTGTGCCATTGCACCTAGGAAAAAATTATCAGTCTTTGCAAAAATGGTGCTTTTAAACATGTCTTTTTTTTCCTCCCTTTCCTCCACCCCCTTTCACTCTCCCCCCTCTTCCCTCCTCCTCCTCCCCCTA